GCCCGCGCCGAGCACCGCGGCGCCCCGCGCTGTGGGCGTTTTGTCCCCTGCAGACCCTCTGTACCCGCCCTAGCCCCACGCTGGGCTAGAGGCTCAGCCTTCTGCGCCGAGATTTCGTCCTCTTACACCCATCCCAGCAGGCAGTAACGCCGCTAGGCTTCCCCTGCAGAACTTCACCTGAACTTGAGCACTCTGGTCGGGGCCCGAGTCTCACACACGAGCACACTTCATCCTCGCTGCGTAAACCCGCAAGATCTGAGTCTTCCAAAGAAAATGACTTTCAACTCCAGTGTATTGTTGGACCTTGGTAGCATTCTGATTGCTCCCATCAGCTCTCGCTGTTTACCTTGCTACTGTTTTATTTCTGCTTCCTTGGCCCCTTTCCACGGCTGTTTTGATTTGTTTGTGACAGGGTCTCCCTGTGTAGTTCAGGCTGGCCTTGAACTCACGGTGATCCTCCTGCTTCAGTGTCCTGAGTGCTGGGATTACAGGCGTGCGCCGCCGTGGCTACATTGTCTACTACCAGAAGAGATTAAATAGATGCAAACGTGACCGAAAACACGACCAATTACCCTAAAAGTAATTACTTAGTATTTAATGCGTATACAGTATGAGCTAATAAAGTAACAAAGAAGCGAGAGTTCCCTAACTTTAAGATGTGCCATTGGAGAGACGTCATACACTCTTGAAAAGATAACTAACAATACCAGATGACAAATGGGGAGGTGCTTGTGATTTAAAAAAAAAGAGAGACTGCGCAAGGGATTGGACAAGAGTTTATAGCCTCCAATAACTGTGACTTCAGTAGATTACATAACTCCTCTGGACTTTTATTTTCTTCATTTCCAAAATAAGACGATTTTGATTCTAAGGTCCTTTCCAGCTCTTAAAATCTTTAAAAGTCTATAAGCAATTCCAAATAAATGATAGGAATTTGGAAAACAAAAATATCAGCTGCAACTGACCTGCTCAGAGAAGCTAGGATTGAGGAGCTAGGACTGAGTTGGCTTTTGACAGAGCCTTGGATGGCGGAAAGAGCACAGGCATTAAAATACTGAAGACAACATATTGTATACGCTAGGTAACATCCATCAAAGTAAACACGAGGGAGCCATTCTTTATCAGTGGCTTGAAAACTTTTGCCTACTATCTGTAGCTTTAAATAAATGACAATTCTGACAGGTCCTTCCAGGTTAGGCCTTTCCTTGGACATAGAGGAAAAAAATCAAAATAATCCTAAATGCTTTGCTTCTCCCTCATGGGTCTACTTTCTAGAAATAGTGCAGTTGCAGAAGCATCTACCTGCTGTTCATGGTGACTATGTGTAGTTCAATTTAAAGGAGGGCTAGATTTTCATAATTTAGAGCCTTTTGTTCCAGCTGAAATGCTTTTGAAAATTTTGGTGTAGGTTAAGCGATTCAGTTCATGTTTAGGAAGGTGATCATGTGTACAAAGCCCAGTAACTTCACAGATAAAAGTTAAGTGTAGTACTTTTCAAAGATTCACAGGAGAGTTAGTGGAGATATAGAAAAACTTATGGGATATCTGCACTAAATGTGGTTAAAAAACTGGACTTCGGGATAATATCTTCTCTTTTTTTTTTTTTTTTTTTTTTTTTGTCTTTTTGAGACAAGGTCTCGCTATGCAGTCCAGTCTGGCCTTGAGCTCACTTTGTAGCCCAGGCTGGTCTTGAACTTGCAACTATCCTCCTGCCTCAACCTCCCGAGTGCTGGAATTATAGGCGTGCACCACCACGCCCAGCCAACATCTTTAATATGAAAGACACCACTGACAAAATAAAGGAACTTCTTTATATATTTTCTCACTAAAAAACTTGGTACCAAGAGCACTATGGACCTTCCATCACTACATTGATCAGGAAAGTTTATGTTATGGTCTACAGTAACAAACATCTCCAAAATCTGCATGTTTGAACATAACAAAAGTTTACTGCCTGCTCATACCTCTTGCTTTGTCTGTTCTACTCTTTCCAGAAAGCAGATTGACAGAAGTTCCACCAGCTTATAGCTGCACAGAACACCCAGCTTTCCTCTGTGACAGGGGAAGACAGTGAAGATCCCCGTGAACTTTTCACAGCCTTAACTTGAAAGGGAAGTAGATCACTGATCACGTTTCATTGCCTAAAACCACTTCCTTAGCCCCTGTTATCAGTCAGTGCTGACTAGAGAAACAGATTTAATGCAAGACTTACAGATATATAAGAAAAATTTACAAGAGTGGCCCACGGAGTCAAGAGTGGAAGAGTACAGATCTCTGTCTGCGCTGGAGATCCAAAGGACCCGGGCCTGGAGCCCGCCATAGCATCTTGTATGAGTCCGTATCAGGAGGCCAAAGGAGGGCGTAAGAGTCTGTGCAGGAGACCATGACCAAGGTGAAGGTGAAGACTGGAGCTCCTCTGAAGGGACAGAAGCAGTCCTGCCTTCTTCGTTTCCAGTTTATATCATTCTGGCAATCCTCCCTAGGCGGGTCTTCTATACCCAGAACTATACAGAGCCTATTTAGTTGGACATTTCTTACTCAAATTTGTACAGTTAACTATCACAGCCCCACACATATGCAAGAGTAGTGACTCCTTGAACTCAGTTCGAGAGGACAGTGGTGCTACTGGTGAATGATACTAATGCCAACCATCCTGACTTCACCAATTGGTTCCTAGATGCTTGGAAAACACTCCAGGAAGTTTTATTCTATAAAATTCTAATCTTGAGTGACTTGAAGAAAATTATGCTTTGAAAAATAAATTTTGTGGGGCTGGGGATATAGCTCAGTGGCATACGTGCCTGCCTGGCAAGTGCAAGGTCATGAGTTCTATCCCCGGTACCGCAAAAAAAAAAAAAAAAAAAAAAAAAAAAAAAAGAAAGAAATTTTGTGTACTTGTTGGGTTGACTGCATATAGACTTGCCAATTTCTTCCCCTTTGTTTTAACTGTACAATATACACAGTCCTGCCAGGCATGGTGGCACACACCTGTAATTCCAGCAGTTAGGAGGCTGAGGCAGGAGGATCGTTGCAAGTTTGATGATATATACACAGTCCTTACTTATTACATGTTATGGTTTGTGTCTGGATATCACCCTAAAGCCTCATGCGGTCATGGGCAGGTGCTTTTTTTTTTTTTTTTTTGGTTTTTCTCCAGTACCGGGAACCGAACTCACGACCTTGCACTTGTCAGGCAGGCGCTTTTTGCCGCTGAGCTAAATCCCCAGCCCTGGCAGGTGCTTTTTGGAGGCAGCTGAATGCAGAGAAGTGATCATAGGGGCTGGGGATTTAGCTCAGCGTCACAGCGCCTGCCTGGCAAGTGCAAGGTCATGAGTTTGATTCCCGGTACCAGAAAAAAAAAAAAAAGAGAGAGAGAGAATGTGATCATAGTGCAATGCTGGGATTAAGGTGCCGGGGTTAAGGCTGGGGGATTGCTGGATCAGTACACTGATTGGATTGGCACTGCCCTAATCCCAGCAGTCTGGATAAAATAAAAGGGGCAGAAAGAGAGTTGTTTTCCCCTTTGCTCTTGTTGCTTTTGCTGTCTTCCAGTGTCATGAACTGTTGCCCTCTGCCATGTGCCAACCCTGCCCTTGGAGCCAGCCGATTATGTACTGAAACCTCTACAAACTGTGAGCTAAATAAACCTTTCCCCTTTAACTGTGGGTGTTGGATATTTTGTCTCAGCAACAAGAAAAGTAACTAGACAATGGTTGATTTACAATTTTTCAACTTTACAATAGTATCATTCTATTTTTCACTTGCAGTACAGTGTCCAATAACCGCACAGTGAACTAGATGGCCACCTCTAAGTAACTACAAAAACCTCTTCTTCACTGGCTTTCTACAAATTTAGGATAGTACTTTAGCTTAGCCAAATTGTATTCAGAATCTAGTATGTGTCAAGTACTTTGTTAAGTGCTTTGAATAAAAATATCAGTGTAACTAGGCTATCAGAAATCTTGCTCACCAGAACATACCTAGAATCCAGCACAATGCCTGACTTAGTAGATGCTCAATAAATATAATTTAAGAGCATGAA